AAGTCAATGGTTCTCGAACATCTGTAACATACAAAGGATTAGTAACAAGAGAGGGGACACAACAATATGCGCAATAAATAAATTAATAATATGCACAGTAAATAAATCACAGTACATAAGAAGATAAATATCGAAGCCAATGGTTCTCGAACATCTGTAACATACAAGGGATTAGTAACAAGATAGGGGATACAACAATATGCACAGTAAATAAATTGATGGTTGTCGAATGCCTGCAACAAACAATGGGTTAGTAACAAGAGAAATGACAAGTACGAGACGCGCACCCACCCTCCGCGACGGCTCACGAGAAAGTGAGGAAGCTAACGCCGTTATGTATTGGGCGTAGGCAGGTTTGTTCGTGTTGAATTGTTTTTGCCTCCTTGAACGACCCAAACACCGCATGGTACAGCCAGGTACGGCCATAGTATACGGCGTACACAGCTAGGTCAATAAACTGTATGACGCAACGTCCTTGCGCATTGGACTGACGCAGAGCACCGATACCGCGGCACGCTCTACCGTACTCTCTCGCTCACACATCTCCCCCCATAGACCCCTGAAATTCCTCAGCACGCATCACACCGACGGAGAGCACCGATGCTGCAGCTCGCTCTACCGCTCTCGCTCGCACGCCGTGACGACGTTACCCGATTCCCGGAATCCCGCGGCCACGAGACGGTAAGGCATTCCCGCAAGGGAAATTGTAATGAATGGGAATACTATGAAACTTCTTTACCTTTTCTTGAACATTCTAATTTCGTAGCCCTAAACTGGGTACCTGAAAGTATTTCATTAAATTTGTGTAAAAGATTTTACTACTTCCTAAGACTCCGTGTGATATTTGATAGCCTAAAAAACAGTGTGCCGATACAGGGTTTCGATTTATTTACGAAACTAATCTGATCAGTTGTTGCATTCTTTGACACTAATTGACAAGAAAATAAAACTTCTGTATTTCACTTAATTTGAGAAACACGTAACTGAATATTAACATACGTTCATTATTTAATTACTCAATAAGTATATTGTTTACCTACACCATCGCAAGTAAAACAAACCACTTCACCCCTGTTTCATGCAAAACTTTTAAACACTGCAACACTAAGTTGCACTTCTGTTCACCGTTGATTTTATTAATTAAAAAATATCCAACAGGTATCTTCCCATTTTTATTTAATCCTACTAATAAAAACACTAAAGCTTCTTTCACCATGTTATTTCTGTTACATGCAAATTCTTTATCTACATCTACCGTACCACAAAATTTGTTGCCATCAAATTCAATTTGTTGTCTTATAGACATCTCATCTATAATTAGATTGGCATATAAATTATTTTCCGTACTGTTATTGAATTCTTGAATATGTCTAACAGCTCCTTCATTGAAATCAGGCTTGCCATTAATTGACCGAAACCATTTATGTGTGGTTTTTGGATGGGAATGGACAAATTAAATTTTTGCCGTACGTATGAATAAGCACGTGGCGAGTAATAGTGTAAAGTTAGAGAAAATAATCTCACTTTTGAAAAATACATGCGCCGACTGGGTTGTTTGAAAAGCTCCTTATGCAAACCTGACATGCCCTATAATGTATCAATAAGCTCACCTTCTAATAAATCTTTCTTTCGAAGGGCTAACAATATTGTTTCTAAATTTTCAATTCTGTTCTCACGTCTTTTACATTTCTGTTGTAGTGTTTTTAATTGACTTTGGTAACTCTTTTTTAACCTTGTTGCATGTTTCCGTAGCTCTTCCTTCTCTGGAGAGTGAAATATCCTCTCTGGTGACACACATGTTGCTTTATTTTGAGATGGCATTTTCACTTGCACACCTATATCATTTGTGTTCAACAATGTCTTTAACTGTAATAAAATAATTCATATTTGTCATACAATGCTTATTGTATACTGCACACACATATAAATAATACATAACAGAAACTTACACATTCAATGTTTGTTACAGAATCACATCTCTGTATTTTCTGTAATGGTTCAGCAAATACATCAGAATCATCTTGTACCTCTTCTTTCAATACCACATGCAACTATAAACAATAATAATATTTTTATAAGATTATTATCCTATCTTACATAATATAATCTAATATAAAAATGTATTGTAAATAAACACATACAGTAGAAGATGAATTTTCATTTAATAATTCTGAGTACAATTCAGTATTACGTTCATTGTTGCTTCCTTCATCTTCTTTTGGAATTTGTACCTTTAAATGTAAATAACCAACTTCAAAACATTTTCCCGGAAAAAAACATTATGATGTAACAGACACATGACAAAATATTACATACATAAGGTACAGCATGTGACTTCAACCTTACGCGTGATAGAGAAGTCCTATCAAAATCTTCATTCTTAAAATGGAGTGAGCATACTACTGCATCGCTGCGCATATAATATTGCTCTAACCCTAAATTCTTTAACCACAGTATGCGGCTATTGGTATCTTTGGGAACCCTAAGAAGTAAATTATATAGTAATTATAAAAAAAATTGTTTTTTTGTAGAGAAATATTTTTGTGTGCTGGTATTACTTTCTTCATACTTACTTATGAAAAGTAATTTTCATTTCTTCTTCTAATACTTCCTGCCTAGCAGACTTACAAGAAGTTCGATTCCCACAATTTTCCACAATGCACCTCGGCATTTTCGAGATCGATTAACGCCTACTAATAACTTACATGTTTATAACAATTTTTCACCTTCAACTATAATACTTTCACCATTTTACTTAGAACTACAATAATACTTACATAATCCCGAAATTATCTCAAATAATAAGAAAATGAAATGATTGCTTCGTTTAATGCTTTCACCAGGATCACCAGGATCCAGGATCATTACAAACAATTACAAAGGACGTCATGAAATAATTACACTTTTAATAATTATATAATGCTTTAAATCAAATGTTTCAATACTCAATAACTATTTTGATATCTCTAACAGAGACAGTAAGCTGATCAAAAAGTGCGTACATCATACATCCAGCCTACTCTGTATCATGCAGGCTGTATGTAGCTACATAATGTAGCTACGTCACAAGTGAACGAACGATCGGCAGGAAGAACGCGTGTGTGATTGGAGGCCGTTAATTGATCAGTTTTTGGAAATCTGGCCTACCACAGCCCCAAAATGATTAATTATCGAGCTTCTATTGTAGTTTGCGATTTTGTGCGGGAATGATTAGATGTTTTGGAATACGAGCCTTACGGAAACAAAACTGATTATGTACATATGTCCACGATGTAAGACTTTTAAATGTACGTATTGTATATTGGAAGATGCAAAGTAGTTAAAAATGAGATATGTAAAATGTATTAATTACATACTTAATAGTGTAAAATTTACGTTTCCAAACATATTCATTCGTTTGATCAGTAAAGACTTAGACTTAGATGGTAACATACCGATATATGACAATCATGAGTTATGTACATATGTATTCCGGTAGAATGATCTGAAGTTTATTCAATATCGTGTACTTTTATATCACAGAAGATAATTCATATTTTTTTATAATAATAATATTAAGGACAGACCTAATAATATGAATACAAAACAAATAATAATTGTTGCTTTGGGCTTGCAACATCTTAACACGCTCCTGCAGCCCGCGATGTTTGAACCTCTTATAACCTAATCAACTTTATTTACTTTTAATTCTTCATTTTAGTATGTCTAGTAGTGTCTTTATAATAAATAGTATTATCAATTTGGTATATAATAATATTGGTTCGATTACTTTTTATGTCACAGAATTGATCAGCTTAGTTTCTCAATTGTTCATTTCAATGAAAGAATCTTAGATTTAGAAATAAACTGCAGAGGAAACAGAAGTAGTATATTTCGTTCCTCAAAATTCAAATTCAATATTTTTATTTCAGTTTGTATATATGAATGTATGTTCCATAATTTGATTGAGGAAAGTGCGTATAAAATATCTCAGAAATGAGTTGATAATGTTCTAAAAATTGCACTATTTTTGGTGAGACAGTGTCAAATGTTATTACATGAGTAGGTATTGTTGCAGCATCATTTTCATTGTAATTGTGACTGAGCCATTGCATTGGATCTGCAAGAAATGCATCTGCTTCGTCCACGTAATTTGTAGAATTATGAAAATTAGGCTCACAAGTCAATATTCTTATGGGTAGATTCACGTGTAAATGACTGTACAAGGGTGTAGCATGACAAGGAGTCAGAAATAGCATGTTCGTTGTATTACTAGTGTTGGTAATTTCTTTGCGGAGAATATTCATCGCATCCAACGCTCCGCGTTGATGTATCATCGAAAAATAAAATCCAGGAACAATATTAGTAACTATGAGTAGAATCACGAATATTTTTCTTGTTAGTTTCGAAAATTTAACATTTAAACGTGGCGTACAGGAAGTACATATAAGTATTAACATCGGTAACAGAGGTAATAAAAACCTAAATTCTTTGTGAGATAACAAAGAATATATACAAATTGTCCAACTAATTACAAATAACATAATCGTTTGACGATAGAAACATGCAGAATATTTTGTTATCTGCCAAATACATAATAAGAAGACAACATAGTAAGGTCCTAAAAGTACTGGCAATCCACAAAATGCATACCACAGTAAATGCTGGGTTCCATAAAAGTCTCCAATCTTGTAGAACACATTTACACGAAAGAATTCCCAAGGAGAGATAATTAAAGTTCCACAACAGAAACTATCTAACAATATTGAACTTAAACAACAAATAATACATATTGTACTGTATCGACTTATTAACATCAACTTTTTCTCTGAACTAGTACATAAGTGATAAATGCATAAGGGTAGCCATATAATAGCTGCAGTAGGTCTCATCATACATAGAAACCCTACAATCCATAGAAAGTTTATGCTTCTGTTGTTACTGTCAGGCCATGGAAACATAGTTAGTGCTATCATAGTACATGCAGTTTCCACAGTATTTATCAATGTTCTTGTGGCACAATAGTACCAGTACCAATTTATACATAAGCTATATAGTGTCCACTTGTTTTTTGTCCATTGATAAAATTTGAATTCTCCATAAGCACTGATTAATGCTTGGAATATTCTAGGCACTGTTGTCAAAACTGTTACATAATCTAATGACATTAGTGCCAATATTCTGTAAATGATAGATATCAGGAATGGATAGATGTAATTGCGAATGTTTGCAGTCCACTCCCATGTTAGGTATCCATATCCAAATGCTAAATGATGAGCCACTTCCAACGATTGCCAATATTCATCTGGTACATGTGCAGTTTGAACAAGAAATACAGAGCTTAGTCTCCATACTAGCAGCAATAATAGTATTTTATACTTTCTAGGCAAATACATGTCTTCCAGTGAAAGTACTACTAACTTCATTACTTCAATTTTAAATTGTATTCAAAACGAATACCTGACAAATATTAACGAAATAAAATAATCGCATTCCGAAAAGTATTATCAAAATTTTAGGTCTGATAACATTTCTACAAATAGAACTTTCACTAAAAAGTCTTCATATTCAATTGTTTGTTCCGTAAGAATTCACTTTCTTTTGTTAATAATTAAATAAAACGTATGCATATAATAGACAGTTTGCAAACATTTAACACTCAAGCCTGGTAAGGAACTGTTCTTTTTACTTAAACAGGTACGTGCGTAGATAAGTTACTAAAAGCAACAATTAAAAATAGAATACATATTTTTTTTATATATAATTTCGTATTCCTATGGTTTTATGAAATTGTTCCTCTCTTTTTTCTGTAATAAAATATTTTGTTTTCATTTAAACAAGACTATATATTGAACGGAATAATCGATAAAGATGTCGCCACGTTGAAACCGCAACCATTTTGTGGGATCGATTAGTTGAGAGGTCTACGTAGCGATATTTCTTTGAACAAGAGAACGTAAGTCGATAGTGTCGTTACGAGAGGTGGTCGATAACCGATTGTGCATCGTTCTTTTCGAAACGAGAAATTGAAGTTCGATATACTTATCTGTGAAATAATTCATCAAGCTTTGAGATATCGGATTGCTTCGCGGTAAATTTGGAAGCGTGGATATTATAAACGGAAAAGCAATGCATCGTTCTGAACGGTTACATTGTAAATTATGCAACGAAAATCCTCCATTTTTATGAAAAAGAAGACGCTATGAAATAGCCGAAATACAATAAATACGTTATATTTGAATTTTAATATCTGAAACGACAACAAGACCCGCCCGGCACATATGGGTTTTTGATTTAGAATCATGGAAAGTAAATCAATATCATTGTCGAATAGCGGAAAATCCGCAACGGCGGAGGATTCTAAGACCGAAATGCAAATGGTATTTGCAAAAATGATGGAAGAAAAGCATACGTACACGTACAAGAAATTAGTGGTGCCCATGTCGATGCGAAGTATCTATTGGAAGTTCTTTGGATTTCCAGCCACAGACGATGGAGACATTCTCACTAAAGTAAAGATTGTTTGCATCTTATGCAAAACTCAAATCGCCTACAATCGTAACACCAGCAACTTACGTATGCACTTGCAAAACAAACATGCTCAAGAGCTGTTAGAACTCGAAGCTACTAATCCTCCTCGAAGACAGGTAGTTTCACAAGAAATGAAAGAGCGGAAAGCTCAAAAGAGGTTATTAAAGGCAGGTTTAACGTCCGCACAACATATTTACACTACTAATGCTGATGGTACTGTGCAGATAGACGGGGACATTCAGTTCGTGACAGATCCGAATATAAGTCTTTCTAACATCGAGGATGACATTTCAATCGGTCAGCCGTTACGAGTCATGATTAAAAGCGGTTCTAATATCAGTAACAACAGCCAAAACGTGGCCTTTCTTATGCCCGAAGAGAACGCTATTAATCAGTCAAGCATCGACGGAAAAAATGTGTCTGATGCTATAGCAGAATTCATTATAATGGACTTACAGTTACCTGAGGTAGTGGAAGGCCGAGGATTTCAGAGGCTAGTCGCAACTCTGCGGTCGCCTTGCGAAATTCCGAATAAAAATAAATTAGAAGATGAAATCATACCAAAGATTTATGACACCTTCCGTGAATCAGTGGCAACAACTTTGACTTGTGTCACTGGTGAAGTGGGTCTTACCATTGAAGAGTGGAGATCAAATTCTGACGAACGTTTTGTTAGTATCTCTGTTTACTATCAAAATACTGGTGAACCAGTCTTAGAATGTAAAGTATTAAGTACAATTCATGCGCCGTTGGATTGGGAAGAGTCTCAATGGGGCAATACAATAGATTCTTTGTTGCTTGATTGGGATTTGAAAATAGAGAGGATAACTGCTGTGGTGGTAGCTACATCTAGAACAGAACTATTAACTGCATTAACAAATCGGGGATTAACATTAGTTCCTTGTTTACTTCATACTTTACAAGTATGCGCTCAAGCTTGTTTTGAAAATCCAGAGGTTGCTTCTATATTGTCTAAATGTAGAGCAGCTATCGGAGCTATCGCAAGCCATCCATCAGCATCGGCAGCTCTGTCGATGCAAGAACAATTACTGGAGGTAAACTTAAAATTATATTGTACACAAACAATGTTATGGTAGAGTTCCACCTACAATAGTTGCATAAATAAAGGGAACTGTACTTTAATCTTCACTTGGTGGAGTGGAACAATAATAAACCTGTTTCACCAATTACAAATTATAAAGTCCCTAGCAAATTCTATGCAATTGTAGTTAGGTGAAAAGCTATTGACTTTATTGATTGTTAAATCGCCTGTTACTTGATGAATAAGCAAATTTTTAAATTCATTTAACATGATTTTAGCTGGAGGAGAATATCATGTTGATGGATTATCCGCCCGTGTGGACGTCAACGTACAACATGCTCGAGCAGATAGTCCTACGTCGTAATATTGTAACATCGATTTTAGAAAGCATGGAAGCAGTTGATCAAGAGATGGTTGATCTAACAAATGAACAGTGGAAGATCATAGAAGATCTCGTGAATGTTCTGGAACCGTTCAAAGTTACTATCATGACGCTTAGCGAGGAAAAAATGCCTTTGATATCATTACTAAAACCATTACTTTGGCAACTTGTATCTTCTCATCTCAAAGTAAAAGAAACTGACAACGATATAGCTAGATCTTTCAAAGAATCCTTATCCGATATGCTTTGTGATAGATATGCAGATTTCAATGTTACTCTTTTACTTCAAATTGCTACCACTCTAGATCCAAGGTAATTATAGATTTTTACTTGTAGTGTTTAGCACTGTCAGGTGTGTCTGTAAATGAAAATATAACTAAAACAATGTATAACATTAGATTTAAGCAACTTCCATATGCTACTGAAGAAGATAAAAATCTAGTTGCAACTCCTATTAAAGATATGTTGACAAAATTAATACAGGAAGAGTCTGGGGATACTACAACAACTATTAAAATTGAGGACGAGCCTCCAAATAAGAAAAGTCGTCTATCTGGTATGTACAAGTATCATAAATCATAATTTGAATTCTTCCAATATTTAGTAACATTTGATAATTAATGAACCACATTTAGGAATGGAACTTTTACTTGGTGGTTTATGTTCGACAAAAAGTGGAATGCCTGCAGAGGAGAAAGCAGATCTTGAACTTGTACAATATCATTCGGAAGCGACCGCTCCGCTTGATTGCTGTCCGCTTCAGTGGTGGGCTAAAATTTCCGCAAAGTGTCCAAATTTAGGGAAGCTGGCTTGTAGATATAATTGTGTGCCTGCATGTTGTGCACCACCTTCTAGGATCCCAGCGGAGGTGCAAGTTCTGTATGATACAAGGCGAGCCGCTTTACCCCCTCATCTGATAGACAAATTGCTCTTTCTCCATGGCAATCATACGGTTTAAAGAAAATGTTAAGTCGTACTGAGATTATTTTAAAGTACTATTTTGTGGTATGTGAAAACTATTTAAAATGTAAAGTCTCTAGCAAAGTCTATGCAATCCTAGTTAGGTGAAAAGCTATTGACTCTATTGATAGTTAAATCGACTGTTAATTGATGAATAAGCAAATTTTTAAATTCATTTATCATGATTTTAGCTGGAGGAGAATACCATGCTGATGGATTGTCCGCCCGTGTGGACGTCAACGTACAATATGCTCGAGCAGATAGTTCTACGTCGTAATATTATAACATCGATTTTAGAAAGCATGGAAGCAGTTGATCAAGAGATGGTTGATGTAACAAACGAACAGTGAAAGATCATAGAAGATCTTGTGAATGTTCTTGAACCGTTCAAAGTTACTATCATGACGCTTAGCGAGGAAAAAATGCCTTTGATATCATTATTAAAACCATTATTTTGGCAACTTGTATCTTCTCATCTCAAAGTAAAAGAAACTGACAACGATATAGCTAGATCTTTCAAAGAATCCTTATCCGACATGCTTTGCGAAAGATATGCAGATTACAATGTTCCTCTTTTACTTTAAATTGCTACCACTTTAGATCCAAGGTAATTATACATTTTTACTTGTAGTGTTTAGCACTGTCAGGTGTGTCTGTAAATGAAAATATAACTAAAACAATGTATAACATTAGATTTAAGCAACTTCTGTATGCTACTGAAGAAGATAAAAATCTAGTTGCAACTCCTATTAAAGATATGTTGACAAAATTAATACAGGAAGAGTCTGGGGATACTACAACAACTATTACAATTGAGGACGAGCCTCCAAATAAGAAAAGTCGTCTATCTGGTACGTACAAGTATCATAAATCATAATTTGAATTCTTCCAATATTTAGTAACATTTGATAAGTAATGAACCACATTTAGGTATGGAACTTTTACTTGGTGGTTTATGTTCGACAAAAAGTGGAATGCCTGCAGAGGAGAAGGCAGATCTTGCACTTGTACAATATCATTCGGAAGCGACCGCTCCTCTTGATTGCTGTCCGCTTTAGTGGTGGGCTAAAATTTCCGCAGTGTCCACATTTAAGGAAGCTGGCTTGTAGATATAATTATGTGCCTGCATGTTGTGCACCACCTTCTAGAATCCCAGCGGAGGTGCAAGTTCTGTATGATACAAGGCGAGCCGCTTTACCTCCTCATCTGATAGACAAATTGCTCTTTCTCCATGGCAATCATACGGTTTAAGGAAAATGTTAAATCGTACTGAGATTATTTTAAAGTACTATTTTGTGGTATGTGAAAACAATCATTAAAAAGTTGATTGTTTTTAGATGATTGAAGTTTAGAATGGATCTCTAAGCATGCTTATAAATAACTAACTAATTTTGCTTTAAGTACAATTCATTGAGTCTGCATTATTGTACTTTCAGTCAGTGTCTTTTCGTTAGCATTATCAGTTAATGGATTTCAAAGAAGTTTCCATCAAAGTTTCAGATGAAATTTCATACTTTCAAGCTACAGGCAATATATTTGAAATTTATTTCGACTTTGATCATCTCTTGTTAAGTTTTCAATAATATTATATTATTAGTTTTAAAAGAATTTGGATTTCAAAAGTGTTGTATAAGAATTTCAAAAGCCTAAAGGGTATAATAGAAGTGAAGGAAATAAATACCCTACTCAAAAAGTAATAGAAAAAAGAATAGATTTCAAATTTGACACCATATAATGTATCACGACTAGTAGTTAAATGTTATATACCATTATGAAGCATTGGAAATAAAATTTCAATGCAATTAGTATTATGTTAAAATAATTACAATATTGATTAATTCAATCTTCGTATTTATTTGCACATCAATCTTAGCAGTAGTTCATTTGCAATAAATATGCAAATGCAATTACACAAGCAACTTGTGATACGTACACTGAAATATATACCGAAAATATGTTAAGTTACTGGCATCATTGAGATATTCGTTTGTTAGATATACGTTAGCAATACCGCCCCTTTAAAAATAATATGAGAATGAACATTGTAAGAAATGAAATTGTAAATGTAACAAATTATTTGCAACTTCTATTTTTGCATTGGTGGACTTGTGTGGAAATGTGCATTCTTATAATATTAGCTGACATTTAAAAATACTAACTAGTACAAATTCAGCATTTTATATCATGATTGATAGTTTTGTTACAATTAGTATATTTCCTCGTTTGTTTGTCTCTAGCAACTTATATTTCCGTACTTGAATGGTAATGTAATGGTGTATATAGTATGTGTTATGTATGTTTAATATTAATTTAAATATGATACCCATATTTACGAACTCTGTACAAAGACTTTACACTTTATTTTTGTAAAATGTTAATACAACTGTAAAAAAGGTACTTTACAATAATAATTTTTATACTCTACATACATATGGATTATTCTTACATTAAGAAATTCACTCAAATATAATGATTGTTATTACCAAATTGCATAATTGATTCAAAGAAAGGTATTAAAAGTACATTTTTTTCTGCCATTTTATATTTTTATTATTTATATTACAAAGTAGAAATACAGAAATTGATTACGGAAGACTAAATTGGTTTTGTGCCCATACAGAAGTTTCATAAAACCTTGGATCTGCAATTCGGAGAGATGCTCTCTTATAGTAATAGTAATATAAAACTGCAACTTAAACATAGTAAAACATGAAAAAGGCTTGAACACGTCTGGCATATTATTCAGTTTATATTTTCATTTATTGATTTATTACCTCCTCTGTGCACTGAATAAAGAATATGAAAATTTATCGTCCAGTGATACGCAAGAGGTGACGACCAATGCATTTTAATATCCCACGTGTGAAGACTAATACTTAATATCATGTACGTGATACATAATATTAATGTTATACGAAATTTCATGTACAGCAACTGTATTAAACCTACCTATATAAAAATGTTATAAAAAGTTTTTAGAGTAGCACGTTATTTAAATATTAAATGTCAAATTTTTATTATGAATTTCTCTGAACAATTACCTGGAAGATGTAGGTGGAAAAGAAATTGACTAGTAGAATCGTCAGAGTTATAACAAGACAAAAATCTTGGATTCTTAAAAATAAAACGAAAAGAATATTAATTATGCATGGAATTTAATAGAATAAGATGCAAAGAAATACGTACACATAAAGAATTAATAAATTAACTGGACGTTGTCGAGAAAAGCTAGCAAACGAGTTGACGAAAATGTCGAAGAATAATATGGAGTACTGCACAATTGCAGTCACCAAGTACTTCTTTGTATTTAACGTACTCATTTAATGTGGGAGAAAAAAGTATTCAATTATATATCATAATTTGACAGTCACAATGTTGTATATAAATAGTCTCCTTATTGTATTGTTATGCTTTAAATGTTGCTATGACAACGTTTGAATTATATATGTATATATATATAGATAGTGAAGCGTGAAGTTAGGTTAGGTATATACAATCACAGCTGACTATTATTTGCATTCTTTTAACTCATACTACCTAGATATTTATTCCAAGAACAACTTTTAAATAAACAATAAATATTATCTGTTTAAAGGAATAAATACATATACTACTCCTATAAATATTCATTTTACTTTAAATTTATGTAATTAATCAGTTACAGAAAATTACATCAATCCAAGTACGACGATTAGTGTTATTTAAAACGTTTATTTTAACACAAAACAAGTGGAGCACACGTTCTTAGAATGAAATGTAAGTTAACGTAAACTTATATTTCTATATTTCTATATTTGCATACTCATTAGTGTCACTTTATTTTACTTAATTATGCTTTCTTTAATATTTTCAGGAATATAGAAACATGTTGGCCGGGCACAGATACTTATTACGCGCTGCGCCCAGCCGCGTGATTGTTACCAATATAATTGGTTATTACTCCGAAGTCGCAAGGATGCGCAAGTTCAGCTCTGACAGTTACATTCCTTGTACTATAGGCTATCTAATAATATAAATTTCAAGCATTCACCTCGATTCCGAAAAATGCAACACGCGATTAAGTACAATAGTCACATAATTTCTTGTATTTCTGTTATTTACAACTATTTATATACTTTAATAGCATAAAATGAATGCATCACTTCATTCTATAAAAGTAAATGAAAAATTGTTCAATATCTGAAGAGTGAATTTATACAAACTATTGACTTCTTAGTATCCGTGCGCTCAATATCTTTCTCTCTCATACAATCGCTACCTCTGTTAGTCTTTTTTAAATTTTATGCTGTAATTAACTTAAAATATTACAAACAAGTCAGACAGCACTGTTAAACAAATTATAAAATTATTTTATCGACATTTCCTCCCCCCTACTGGGCTTAACTTTAGTATGACAAAATTTTTGAGCTGAAAATCAGATTCTGCGACCCCAAAAACCCCCCGAATAACTATTTTTGTAATGACAAACGGTGGAATGTAGACGTAAGGATTTTTTATCGCGTTTTCCGCGATTCGTACCACTAAGGCATCGGCCGTAGCCGTAACCGATCGGCGATGTACAGTTCTTTGTAATCCCTCTAGTAGAACAGTTCATTCTAGTAGAACATTCATCAGAAGATCCTCGACCAACGAAAAAATTAGCCCTTTCCAAATTAAACAACTTCTGTGAATAAACCTTTCTGATATCTCTAAAAATAACAGAGATAATTAAGATTACCGTAAAATGCGTATTTCCAACCCACCCTATATATTGGTGCATCTTGCAATTGTTTGGCTTAATATTCTTGTTTGGTTTAACATTCGGCGCCAACTATTTTCCGGTATAATACGGTAGTGAATATTATATTTCGTTGAAATAAAAATTGGAGTGAGGAGCGGGGACCTACCCGACCTACCGTCACTCACCGACCGATCGTGATTTGTCGAAGATAGCCGCGCGAGGTCTGGCTGGGCCTGACACTGACGGTGTCCTAGAGGGCGATTGTGATGATGTGACGTGTAGAAGTTGTTTACAGTTGTTTATGACATTTGATTCAAACTGTTTAAAATGGGAGTGAAGGATCTTTAGAATATTTTATCGCCTTTGTGCGACAGACAGCCTATGTTTGAACTCCAAGGAAAAACGGTAGCAATTGATTTGAGTTGTTGGGTTGTGGATAGTCAAACAGTCGTAGATAATGCAGTTCAGCCGAAAATGTATTTACGGTTCGTTTCTGTCAGTTTTATTGGTGATTAATTTGCAATTTAAATTGAATAAAATTATATAATTTCTTGTTTATTGTAGGAATTTATATTTCCGTACAGCGTTCCTTCTTCTGCAAGGAATATGGCCAGTATTTGTATTAGAGGGAAAAGCACATATTATTAGACATAATACTATTGCAAAAAGAAATGATATTCGTAATGGATTTCGACAAAGAAAAACTTCTCATAAAGGAGCAAGATCACAACTTAACAGAATTCTTAAGGAGTGCAAAGAAATGCTTATTTTCATGGGCTTAGCCTGTGTGCAAGGACATGGAGAAGCTGAAGCAATGTGTGCTTATTTAAATGACGATGGAGTATGCAATTTGCAATTACTTATATAGAGTAATAGGAATTCTATTTAATCCTGGTTTCAATAAATATCTTTATAGCTCGTTGACGGATGTATAAGTCAAGATAGTGACTGTTTCTTATATGGAGCAAAAGTAGTTTATAGAAATTTTTGTACAAGTGCTCAAGGAAATCGGGGTGGTACAGGTGGGTCTATAGATAAGTACAGTTTAGAAAAAATAGAGAGGCAATTGAATTTAGGGAGAAATAAAATGATAGCATTAGCTCTTTTATGTGGATGTGATTATAATGATGGATTGAATGGAGTTGGTAAAGAAGCAGCCATGAAACTTTTTAAAATTGTAAAAGGATGAAGATATCCTTGAACGGTATGTAAGACATTTGAATAAATATATAATACGTTTCAATAAATATTTATCATATAAGGGTATGTGACACATTATTTTTCTAGAATAAAAAGTTGGAGGACAGATAGTAGTCTAGATCAGAAGGAAACAGAATTACAATGTTCTAATTTATGTACATCTTGTGGTCACGATGGTAAAGTACAAAAGCATGCAAAATCAGGTTGTGTAGATTGTGGGACCGCTGTTAGGTGTAATAATTCTTATAAGTGGGTAAATTTTTACTTATATTGTACTATTTATTTAAAACATATATTATAAAACATTTGTTGGAACATAATCTTTCAGAGAAAAAAGGGCATTAATATTAAATGAAATTGCTTTACGGAAAAAAGCACTTCTTATAGAAGATTTTCCCAGTCAAGAATTGTTAGATGAATTTCTGATTAGGAAAGATCTTGTACCTAGAAAGGTAGACCTGCAATGGAAAAAACCACAAATAAGTAAACTAATAGTAAGTTTTTACATAAAATACTATGTTTTAAGTAGCGCTGTGACATTATAAGATACCCGGGTACCCGGGTATGCATGAGATATTCGAATATATGAGACAGTCGAGAATTTCGATTCGGAAGTCGATTGCAGACGCCTAGGCATACTATGCTACTAAACACTTGCGTTACACTGCAAAAACATGACAATAATATAATATGTATTACTAGTATGTAGTGCTAAGTAACGCAGTATACGCGGCTGCGATCGAATAATTATAATAATATATATTATATATTATTATTGTAATATTTTCGGTTTTTCTCAGTTTATCGAAAATGGTCGAAATACGATCGACTCCCGAATCGAGATTCTCGACTGTCTCATTATTCGGATATCTCATATGTGTACCCGGGTATCCGGGTAATTTTTTTTTACCCGAGTAAAAGTAATAGCCCTAGTTTTAAATCGGTTCTGTAAACATATGAATTGATTTTTAATTAGGATTTTATGGAGGGACATTTATCTTGGGAACCACAGTATGCGTTTGAAAAAGTATTTCCTTTAGTAACACGATGGCAACTTTTACATTTACCGAATATTTCTCTTGAAGATCGCTTGTTAATACCCGATTTATTCGAACCTGAAGCGATAAAAAATATTCGTAATATTAAATCTGTTGCCAGTTATGAAATAATGTGGCATATGGATCATGATGTAGTAGAAAAATTGAAAGAGTATATGGCATCATATACAAAACAGAACGATAGTACTCATAACAGTGTAACTGAATTAACTAGTATTGAACCACAGTATCTAGTACTGAACTGTTATCCAGAGATAGTTGAAGCATTTGAAAACGTAAGAAGTGTGAAAGCAAAAAAACGACCGACTAAAAAAAAGGCAGAAAATGAAACGAATGGGAAAGACACAGGAAAAGGTAAAAAAAAGGAAGTAGACCGCCAAAAGAAAGTGGCAAAAAGCCTGTCGATATTGAAAATAATAGAAGAACTGATGAATTTGTTTCCAAAAATACTGCTTTATCGGTGGAAGAATCATTTGAAGAAACGAATATTACACCAAAAAGATCTAAAAGGGTAGAAAAGCAACAGGAAAACCAAAATTACAGCGGAAGTATAAAACGTCGACCTCAGTTTGATAAGGTGTTACAATTGGAGAAATTAAATTCAAAATTGAATCGTACGTTGGACAGAATGTTCAATGAACTTTTACCGGATGATTTTATTAGCGATAACGAGGAGCAGGATCTAAATATGTCAGAAATAATTGATAACATATGCAGTGTGAAAAAAGTTTTTCAGTTTAATAGTATATCTGTGGACGAAATTACTTCCAATGTGAAAAGTACTGAAAATTGCAATATGATCCACACAGTATCGTATAGTGAAGCAGAATCTAACAAATGTGAAACAAGTATTGCAATTTGTGATCAGTCTAATGATGAATTTTCTGGTATAAACGACTCTTACATACCACTTAATCAAAGACTTTTAACACTAAAAAATAGGAATGAATTGCCCATACATTTTACAGAGATAAATGAAAGATTTACTTTAGGATTTGTTGATCTTATGAGCGACACTGATCCATAAAATACACAGTTCGCTACTTAGAATACAATATATGTATATGTATATACAATGAAATCACAAAAATGATCTATTTTCTCAGATACATGATTGCGTATTTGATATGTAGTTCCGATTGTCAAATGACCTGCTGCATAATTACGTCCGAGGCCTGTTACTTTACATGCTCTGATGTTTAACCTGATTTTCATCAGGAAAATTTCGACAATCCAATTTCGTACAAATATAATCCATTATAAGACATTCTTCGTGTTGTACTAATGGTTTAGGTAGCAATACATCGTTCAGTATTATTACAGAATACCGGAAACCGTACCA